GTAAGATTTTAGAGGTAGTAAATCGCATTTCCCGTCTTCCCTCGACTATCATACCGTAGTTTTTTGTAAGCCAAAGGCGACCGTGCTTTACTGAATGTGTATTGTGTTATTTACCTAGGCCTACATTTATGCATAGTACTAAGTTGTAGGAAGGGCAAGATGTATGTTTACTGACTTTGAATGAAAGACAGAAATATATAATATAATATTTCGATTCTATTGAACACATTGAGGCTGATGTAAAATTTCAAATGTTTTTATTTGCATGCAATGATCAGACGTATTTCTTGCCATGCCAGTTGAATTTTGAATTTTGTTTAGCTGCTTGAAGACCTTGATAATATGGACTGAATGAATGAATAAAAGGAATTGATGATTCCAATAAGGAGGTAAACAAATAAATATTTAATATAGGTCAGTTCAGCCAGTTGCATCCCATCAGCACTTTCATTATCTCTGTGATCATGCACTAGGTATATAAATTTAAATACACAACAGTAACCAGGAAGGTTGGAAGAAGTTTATGACAAAAGTCTGAATACTTTTGTGTGAATATTATTGAAACACTGTAGCACACTGTAGCTGAATATAGAGTTCAATCCAATCCACTTATGAACATGTGTTAAATAATACAATTATATAATATTATCAATGTAGCCATCCAGTATAAACAGTTTAAAAGAAACTAGAAATAATGACAGTTCTGCTGTATTCAATATCATTTATCAGCAAGTGCCGTTCCGTTATTTTCTTCTTTTCATATTGCATTGTAAAATACAGTACCATACAATGCCATTCAAAAAGTCAATGCAAATTTATATAAAGAAAACAAATGTGTTGTTGAACTGTTCATACAAGGAAAAATTAAAAAATATATGGTAATATTTCTCAACACAGTGTATGGTATGATGTTATATCAAATAGATAACAACATTCATCAAACAGTACACAGTTCCAATCAGATAAGACTACAGTACTTTCAATTGATTCATGCCTATAATATGGCCTGAATTGCCAACAGATACTTATATCCCTCATGTAGTAACAAGGCTTCATCCTGATTTACAATAGCAGCCTCAACTAATTCCACCACTCAATGTTTCACATCTTACTAATTTCTCAATGGTTATTTCTCTATTAAAAGTACTTAATATATTATTGTTACATGGGAGAACATGACTTCGACCAGGAAGCACTTCTTAATTATTGA